ATGAAGAATTAGGTGCCTCACAGACAATGAGCGTAGAGATTAAAGGCTGAACAGCGTATGCTCGAAAAGGAGATGAATCCCACCCCCCTGAGCGTTGCTTCCTGGGAGAGCGTTTTGAGATCTGGTTAAGTCAACTGATGCTATCGTTAGCATCACATAATTGACATTCCCTGAGGAATTTGACTCGAGTGTGGCCTGACAATTTAATTAAAGGTGGTGGTGTAAGGCAGCAAGGCAAAACTTGAGAATGACCTTAGGAACAAGTCCTGCATCTCGGTCGTTAATTGGAAGACATAAATGAGTGGGCTTTTCCAGTCAGCTCCTCCGCTTCCCAGTTCTTTGTTCAAATACTAATACTTAAATTATCCAGAAGAATGTTTATAACCTTTGTTGTTAAAGTTTATGGGTGACAGCCAGGCGGGATGATCAGTCAGACGATGTTACTGCTGCAGCCTGGTCTGACCTTCCCGGTTAGATGGTTCCATGGGATAAGGATCTGTAAATAATGAAAAAGACTATGGGAAGTCTAGAAAGCAGGGTAGCTTCCTACCACAAACACAGAGGTGGCAGAGAATGGCTTGCAGGATTGTGGGAAGAGTTGATTTGATTGGGTTTTTTTATTTTTCTACAGAGGATTGAGTTGGAGTGATGGTGTGTGTGCACATGGTGTTGTTAGAACGGGCTACTAGAACGTAATCTCCAGTTACAGTAGCTCTGAAGTAAGATATGAAAATACTGGAGAGTTCAGAGGAGGCCACAAAAATGCTCTGGTTCTGGAAAACAAGCCATGTAATGGACTAAATGAACTTAGTTTATTCAGGCACATCCAAGAGAAGAGGGCTGAGATGTGACTCAGCCACTCTGTGGAAATCCATGCCTATGGGAACGTTATCTGATAGCTGAGTGTTTTCAGTCTTTCCAACAAAGGCGTAATGAGATCCGGTAACTGAAACTCGAGGCTACACAAATTCTTTTAAATATGACACAATTTCCTAGCAGTGGTGAAGATTAATTGTAGGAATAGTTTACAGGAGAGGTTAAAGGATTGTCATTATTTGGAGCTTTTAAGCTGAAATGATAACAGTTTTGAAGATGGGCTTAAACCTGAAATGTTGGGCAACTTACTGGTGCAGGGATCCCCGTGTGGTTGGGGGGAAATCGGTGAGACTATCAGTGAGTCACCTCCTGGGACTCCTGTGTACTTCTTAGGCTGCTTGGCTGCAGAAATAGCGTGCTTTTTTTTTTAATGTTGCTTAAAGGGCTGTAGTTCTAAATTAAGACAGGTTTAAGCAATCTTGCGCTTTTGGATGAACCTCTGTTTCAAAGGGGAATTCCCCATGCCGTTCTTGCAGAGGAAAGGTACGTTAAAGTAGTGTGTTTCTTCCTCCACTCTTCTTTGAATCGTCAGAGTTTGGCCACAGAGAGCAGGCCCCGAGCTGGGCAAGCAGGTGTCATATACTAGTTCAGAGAATCCCCTCCCTCCTTTACTGTATCTTCCCCACATGTTTGCAGTCTGGTGCAGATTTGAGGTCAGGAAGGGATTTCTAGCAAAGTCTGATTGTTAAGGCATCATAAGAGTTTTTCCACCCTCAGCAAGAACATGGTTTTCATGCTGGGACTTTCTGCTGTCGCTGGTTTTTATCTCACCAGGTTCTCATAAGGGGATTTGGGGGTCTGTTTATCTGAATGAATTGTTTCAATAGGATGAGAGTGCTTTCCAGGTAGTGGGCTTTATAAAAGGGTGTTGGATGATGGGCTCCACTGCAGGATCTGTTGATGCACTCTG